CTTGTTGCCGTGCCTTCTTCTGTCTGCAGGCCAGAGGCTGGCGGTGGAGTAGGAGTAGTGCCCGAGGAGCCATTAGGGGAGCTCCTTTCCTTGTTTGTTGCCATGTCTTGTAATGATATTAAAAAGAGTAGAGTTTCCCTTGTCAGCTCTCATACCATGTTGGGCTGAGATAGCCCCTTAGGATCTTTGCAAGGGATAACTCTAGGTGAAGTAGTTGTAATAGCGGAAGCGTTTAGTGAAGAATTTGAACCGACCTTGCACTGGTGTGTGAGAGCAAAGTTGATTGAATTAAACAAGCAAATACAAGGATTTATATAAGAGTACAGGGAATAGATAGATAACTGTATTGCTGTTGCGGTTCGATATAGCGCGACTCGGGCAACTGCTCTGTAACGAGTCAGTTGTGTGTCCTTAACTGTCGCGCTGTAATTGTCGAGTCAAAGGTCAGCGACCTTTGACTTTCTCGTAACCTCCAGGCGGTTACCCTAACCTCCGAGGTTGACTCGATGCTTCGATTGGGACTGCTTCGCTTGGTACCTTGGATTTTGATACGACAGAAGCGCACTTAGGACTTATTGTTTCCAACAGTTACCAGCCAGGAATTCCGGATGCACTGTTCATTACCATGCAGGCAAAAATATTGACCATTTAGGCATGATGGTTATCACAGTGGCGAGGACACGATACCTTTGTTACGAAATGTACACGTGGCTTATCTCGGATGCGATCGAGCTCCATGATTGTTACCGCAAAGATAAATGCCCGAGAAAATTGCAGCCAGAGAAATGGACTAACCAAGGAGACGAAGCGCTTTTTCAGCTCGTTAGATTTCTAACAGTCACAGCACGATGCTCAGGGAATCACGTCAGATAGTTCGTTGTAGGACAAGCACTGAGCCGTATAATTCGTTTATGTAATCTTTCATTAGTTTTATCCTGAAGCCGTAGAATCCGTCGGCTAATCGCTATGGCGTTTCATACCTCCAGGTCACGGCCATCCATCGCGCGGATTGACAGATTTTTGTTTTGGCTAAGATACATGACACAGTCTTCTACTCCTCGTTCCAAGTCGTTTTCATTGAAGCCTGGAATTACATCCGCAGCTGCTATTCCTTCCCCGTCGAGCCTCTACCTGTTTGGGCTAAACCGACACCATGGCGCAAAATTGCGATTTGATCCGAGCTTCGATGGCAAGACAGTACTGACGGTTGAGACCGAGGCTCGGTTGCGTGCAGATGGAAGAGAGGAGGGAGAAGGCGAGGGAGGAGAATCAGAGGAGATCGAGAGTAGAGTGGGAAGGGAGGAGGCGGATGGTAGAGGAGAGCGTACGAGACGTGATATGAGAGCAAGGAAAGTGAAGGGAAAGGTTGAGGGAGACAGGAGGAAGGGTGGAGGAAGGGGAGGATGCGAGGTAACAGAGGAGGAGAAAAAGGCAGTGGCGGTGATTGCTGGAGTGCTGAGAGAGAAATTTGGGCCTTAGATAATGATAGAGGAGGAGGAGGAGGGGGGGTCAGCAAACGGAAGGATTACGGATGAGGAGGAGGCTAAGGAACGACAAGAAGAGGAAGAGGTGGGGTATGGGGATGAGGAAACAGAGGGCTCAGAAGTTGAGGAAGAGGATGAGGAATGGAAGGAGGGGGAAGACACAGAAGAAGAGGCAGGAGCGAGTGATGAGGACGGAACACCCGCCACATCTCCTCCCACGCCCCCTTCTCTACTCAAGAGGCGGCGGGTCGTATCTCCCTCTTCCCTCCTCTCCCTCTACCGCTTCTTCTCCTCCCACCTCGGCATCTCCTCCCCTTCCACTATCGCCTCCCTCCTCACCTATCGCCCTGCGCTCCTTCGTTCTGATCCCACCAACGACCTTCTGCCACGTGTCAACCTCCTCCAGTCGTATGGCATATCCCGTGCTGACATCTCAGTCATCACCACTAGAAATTGTACATGGCTCCGATTCTCCCTTCTCCAGGTTCGGGATATGCTTGACTTTCTCTTGGCTCGGGGCGTACGCCGAACCAAGCTAGGTACGGTGCTCCGAAGGTCGCCATATCTCATTACCATGCGGACTCCGTTAACAAACCTGGACATTCTGGTGGAGAGTGCAGGTGTCCCTGTTGACAAGCTGGGTGTGGTTATAGAGAGAGGTTCTGATGTCCTCAGCATGAGGGAGGAAACCTTACGAAGTCATCTCGAGCAAGTATCAGCGTTTCTTACCAACGGATACGAAGAAGGAAGCGTCAACAGAGGGCACCTGGGCAGACTTTTGGTGCTGCATCCAAGAATCCTCCTCAGGTCTCCCGAGCGCATTGCAACCATCCTCAGCCTCCTCCAGTCCTTCACTCCCCCTGGCAGCCCCTCCATTGCTATCCCTGTTCTTTGCCGGGCCCCCACTCTCATGTCCCGCACCTCACAGAATCTCTTAGCTAAGCTCCAGTACTTAGAGGAACTGGTGGGGAAGAAGGCAGCAGCGAGTGCGGTGCGCAGCCATTCGGGGGTTCTTCGTCTATCAGTAGAGAACATGCAAGGCAAGGTGGCGTTGTTGGGCGATCTGATTGGGCAAGAGAACGCTGTGCTTGCAGTGGCACAGTATCCTTCGATGCTGGCGATTAACGAAGAGAACCTTACAAGGGGTTTTAGCGAGCTTGTGCGAGAAGTGGAAGAGGCTCTGGAGGAGAGTGGAGGAGAGGAGAGTGGGAGGCAAACGCTCGAGGAAGGTGCACGGATGCTTGTGCGAGAAGTGGGAGAGGCATTGGAGGGTGGCGGAGCTGATGGGTTTGCACGAGAAAGTTTGCCTGTTGAAGAGCCTGAAAAGGATGCAAGAAAGCGTGTGAAGCAAGGGGAGAGTGGTGCAGAAGCAAGAGCAGGAGAAAGACGAGGTTTTAAGGGCACTGCTGGTGCCACCGCAGCTCGTGAGCTTGTAGCGAATCTGGTGGTTAAGTTCCTGAGTTCTATCTGCTACAGTTGGGAGAGCAACACGAGGCGCAAGGTGGAGTACCTAAAACGGGACATGGGGCTGCTTATAACGGAGGTGCTTGCGCTCCCTTTCTTCCTTGGGTACAGCTTGGATCGGCGAATCAGACCGCGACATGTGGCGCTGCTGAGCAACGGCTATGTGTTCGTGCCGCATGAGGTAGCTCTACCAAAAAAATGTGAAGGGGGAGGGCACTTGGAAGGCATTTTTGTTGGGAGGAGGGGGGCAGAAGAGAAGCAAGCAGCAGGGGAGGATGTGGATGGGAAAGATGAGTTTGGGGTTAGGAAGCCTGAGGATCAAACTTCCTTGGAACTTTCGCAAGACAGCTATGCTGCGTTGGGGGTGGAAGGGGCTGTGGCTGTGGGCCGTTTATCCCAGCGAGGTGAAGACTGGCAGCGGGGAAGGAAGGCGGTGTGCTTGAGTCAGTTTCTTGTGTGCACAGACCAAGAGTTTGAGAAGCGATTCCAGTTTGAGCTTGCACGGAAGGCGGTGTGCTTGAGTCAGTTTCTTGTGTGCACAGACCAGGAGTTTGAAAAGCGGTTCCAGGTCGAGCTTGCACCGTCCATGCTACGGTAGAAGCTTAGTCGGGCTTCTGAGCTGCCTGGAAAGGGTGGCGGTGGTGTGTACTGTCCATGCTGGAAACACACAGCACATATGCTTGGTTCATTCAGCCGCTTCGTTTGCTAGTTATTGTTGAGCAAAAAGGCTGAAAAGGCTGAAGGTACTCTCAGCAAAAACCTAGCAGGGCGGAATGTCCTGACACAGGTTACAATGATACCGGTAGCAGGAAAGCAAGGTTCTCAGAGTAAAGGTATTTACTGCACCCCTTCCCTCTCTCACACCCCTCTCTCCCCACCGCCCTTCTCTCCCCCCCCTCCCCCCCCCAGTAAGCCTGGCACCCTGGCTTCCCCTACCCTACCATACCTCTGCAATCCTCCCTCTCGGTAACCAGTACCAGTACCAGTACCAGTATTTGTTTCAACTCAACTGCAGTGTTTGTACTCGTAAGAATGCATACAGTACGATACATACCGTACCATACTGCATCATACAGGTTCAACAGCTACTTAGCCTGCTTGCTCGCTCATGCATCCCCAACACACACCATAAAGGCTGTCGGGTAACCACTATGTTAGGGTGCATTCCGCTGTGGACACATGTCCCAATCGATGTGTCCCAATCGAGTGTACTGCTCCGAACCGAACTAAACCAGAGACGCGAAAATTTCGAAACTAGGGTGCAATTTGGTGTAATACGATGCAGTGCGGTAGAAACGATTGGGACACATCGATTGGGACATGTGTCCACAGCGGAATGCGCCCTTATATATCCCCAAATTAAACCCCAGAAGTACGGTACCCACACATTTTCCAGTACTATACAGTGGCTTTCGGTACTAGACAAGGAGAGCATGAACAGCAGATAATTGCGGCTGCAAAAAAGGAAACCCCAGGCAGTTTCAGTTAAGCCAACCCCAGCAGTCAAAAGTAACGAGACAATATCCCATCTAGCAACACGAGCCCACGAGGAAGAAAGCAAAAAGGCTAAACCCGCTACAGTATGGAAAGCAGAGGCCATGAAAGCAGCACCAGCGCAGAGGCGGAGGCCATGAAAGCAGCACCAGCGCAGAGGCGACATTTGGGTAGACTCGAGAATCACGGGGTTGCTTGGAGCAGCTTGCTTTGCATTGCTTACTTGCTTTGCAGGTTGCTCGGACGGAATCATTTCCCACACCGAGGCGATAAATGCAGCACCAGCAAGAGGTGACTTCCCCCAAACTGAGTAGTAAACACGAAAATCGCAAATACGGGTTTGGACGAAGCAGCTTGGTATAATCAGGAGGAACCATCTCCCACACTGAGCAGATGAAAGCAGCACTCGTGGGAAGGGGGTGTCTTTTAAGAGTACACTCGAAAATCACTGGTTTCCTCGGAGCAGCTTGGCATACTCGGGCGGAATCATCTCCCAGACCAAGCAGATGAAAGCAGCGCCCGTGGGGAGGGGGTGACTTCTGGAAGAACACTTGGGAATCACTGGGTTCCTCGGAGCAGCTTTGCATACTCAGGTGGAATCATCTCCCACACTGAGCAAATGAAAGCAGCACCCGTGGGCAGGTTCTGCTTGGTTATGCGCACGAGGGCCAGAATGGTCTTGCCGGTGCGCTGGCGTGCCATGGACCAGCAGGACTTGTCCAGATGAGCGTCAACTCCTGGAGTATGGGAGGGGGAGAGGGAGGGGTGAGGAGGTTGAGTGAAGTGTGTGAGGGGCAGGGAATGCGCTGACGTGCCATGGACCAACAGGACTTGTCCAGGTGAGCGTCAACTCCTGGATCATGGAGGGGAAAGTTGGAGGTTGGAGAGGAAGAGTGGAATGAGGAGAGGGTGCGGGGAGCAGGCAGGGAATGCGCTGGCGTTCAGTTGACTAGCAGGACTTGTCCAGATCTGCATCAACTCCTGGACCGTGGGAGCGAGAGAGGGGTGTTGGGGTGGTGAAGGCGAGTGAGATGAGAGACGGTAGTGATGTGTGTATGCAGGAATAGTGAGTGCGCTGGTGTGTCATGGATCAGCAGGACTTGTCTAGATGTGTGCCCACGCCTGGGATCAAATTCAGGCAGAAATCGGAGGAGAGGGGCAAGAGAGTACGCAGCACCACAATGTATCGAGCAGCACCGCAACGTACCGAGCAGAACCGCAATGTACCTAGCAGCACCAGAACGTACCGAGCAACATGAAGTCCTCTCTGCAGTTGATGTTGTAAAACAGATCAGGGAACGCGATCTGCTCTGCCGGAGGATACACAGCCTCGTCGGCAGCAGCTGCTGCTGCTACTGTTGCCACCCCAGCTGCTGCTGGTGGTGCTGTTGCTGGTGCTGCTGTTGGCGGCGGTGCGAGTATGGGCATGCAAAACAGCTTGCTAGCTTCCCTGTTGCACGCTATGACTGTACCCAAGGCGTCCACCACCAGACGGGACTCTCCAGCGGCCTGCAACGGGGATTGGGTGTAGAAATGAACAAAAGAAAAGCGAGAAAGAGGAGGGAGATGACGAGGAGAGCAGAGTGAGAGAAGAGAAGAATCATACCAGCAGGGTAGGGGGGAGTGGGGATGTTAAAAGAACGGTTAAGAAGGTGTTTATCAACAGCAAAAGAACTAAAGTCGTAGAGGGGACTAAAAGTCGAGACTAAAAAGTTGTAATACCACTCGAGGTGACTTTTGAGTCGACTCAAAGGTCAAAAAGTCGTAATACCCCTCGAGGTGACTTTTGAGTCGACTCAAAGGTCAAAAAGTTGTAATACCCCTCTTGCTAAAAAACGCCATGCTGCCATGCCAACCAGCACACCAAATTCCACTCACAGGCACGCTCATAGAGCTTGCTCTTGAACCGGCAGCCGACCTCCATCCATTCTTCTCTTCTCTTCCTCTTGCTGGTGCCAAACAGGATTTGCCCCAGCATGTCTAGGTGATTAACAGCTCATCATCTTTGCTTGAACCTTTTCGAACTTACAGGCACGCACCCCTCATAGAGCTTGCTCTTGGCCTCCGTTCTTCTCTTATTCTTGCTGATGTCTAATAAAACATTTAAAAAATCAAACACCAGGTTCCCACTCACCGGCACTCGGCCTTCATATAGCTTGCTCTTGGCCTCCATTCTTCGCTTCCTCTTGCTGATGCCAAACAGAATCTGCCCCAGCGTTGCTGATAGTGGCTCTGCTATCTGCATTATATCCTCGTTATAACCTCCCTCCTTGTTCGCAACCATCCACACGCCCACTAGCTCGGTGCCTGTATTATGAGAGGAGGAAAGGGAGAAAAGGAGGGGGATAAGGAGAAGGGGAGGAAGAAAGGGAGAAGCGGGGGAGGAGAAATAAAAAAGGAGGAAACGAAGAAGGCACAAAAAAGAACACACGAACTTGCACAAGAACACACCAACTTGCACAAGAACACACAACCCAGCCCACGCAGGGAGAGGAAGGAGTGAAGGGTTGGACACCCGCGAGGAGTGCCAGAGGACTGCGGGTCAGAGAGCAGATGGTTGGATACGTGAGGATGGCGGGAGGAGATGGAGGAGCTGAGGAGAGATGGACTGACACCAGTGCATGCATGCTTGCATGCACTGCACGCTCACCTACACACATAGGCCAGCACACACAACTACAGAGACAACCCAGCCCACTCACCCATGAAGACAGGCACGGGGAGGAAGGAGTGAAGGGTCGGGTGCCCCGGGGGTGTGCCCGAGGAAATGGGACTGACACCAGTGCATGCATGCATAGCCCATCACACATACGTACCCATGAAAACACGCACGGAGAGGAAGGAGTGAAGGGTCGGGTGCCCCAGCGGAGTGCCGGACGATTGTGGGTCGGAGAGCGGGTGGTTGGAGATGTGGGGCTGGCGGGAGGCTATGGAGGCGACGAGGAGAGACTAGCATAGCCCAGCATGCTCACCCATACATGTAGCCCAGCCCAGCATGCTCACCCATACATGTAGCCCAGCCCAGCATGCTCACCCATACATGTAGCCCAGCCCAGCATGCTCACCCATACATGTAGCCCAGCCCAGCATGCTCACCCATACATGTAGCCCAGCCCAGCATGCTCACCCATACATGTAGCCCAGCCCAGCATGCTCACCCATACATGTAGCCCAGCCCAGCATGCTCACCCATACATGTAGCCCAGCCCAGCCCACTCACCCATACATGTAGCCCAGCCCAGCCCACTCACCCATACATGTAGCCCAGCCCAGCCCACTCACCCATACATGTAGCCCAGCCCAGCCCACTCACCCATACATGTAGCCCAGCCCAGCCCACTCACCCATACATGTAGCCCAGCCCAGCCCACTCACCCATACATGTAGCCCAGCCCAGCCCACTCACCCATACATGTAGCCCAGCCCAGCCCACTCACCCATACATGTAGCCCAGCCCAGCCCACTCACCCATACATGTAGCCCAGCCCAGCCCACTCACCCATACATGTAGCCCAGCCCAGCCCACTCACCCATACATGTAGCCCAGCCCAGCCCACTCACCCATACATGTAGCCCAGCCCAGCCCACTCACCCATACATGTAGCCCAGCCCAGCCCACTCACCCATACATGTAGCCCAGCCCAGCCCACTCACCCATACATGTAGCCCAGCCCAGCCCAGCCCACTCACCCATGAAGACAGGCACAGAGAGGAAGGAGTGGAGCGTTGGATGCCCCGGCGGAGTTCCCGAGGACTGGGGGTCGGAGAGCGGATGGTTGGAGATGTGGGGCTGGCGGGAGGCGATGGAGGCGCCTAGAAGGGATTTCATGTTGGTGAATACTAGCCCGCTGGCGTAGTTGGCCAGACACCACTGGTGCAGCTCTGGCGTCCATGCCACGTTGGTTGCTGCATGGGTCTGGATGGGTGGAGAGGGGTTGAGAGAGGTAGAGAGGGGTGGAGATGGGTATAGAGCAGGGAATCAGAGGGGCCAAGAGAAGGGGGGATGAAAAGGAGGTGATGGAGGCGCCGAGGAGGGAGTTCATATTGGTGAAGACGAGACCGCTGGCATAGTTGGCCAGACACCACTGGTGCAGCTCTGGCGTCCATGCCACGTTGGTTGCCTCATGGGTCTGGGGAAGTGGGGGGAGTGCGGCGGGGGATGGAGGAGTGGGGCAGAAGGGGTGGAGGTGGAGTGAGGAAGGGACGGTAAGAATTGTTTCAAAAGATCAAGCGTGGGTGAGCGGGAGGGGAAGAAAAGAAGGGGGGGAGGGGGGGGGAGGAAGGAAAGAAGGAAGATACGGAAAGAGGAATTAAAAGGGAGGGAGTGTGAGTGACAAGCATGCAAGTATCATGTATGCATGAAACTCTACGCACCTTGAGATAAGGGGAACCATCGTGACGATGCAGCACGGAGGCAATGACGCCCATGGGGGATTCGGTGATGTCGAGAAAGGCGGCCAGAAGGTAATCGCATATCTTGGTTCCATTGGAAGTCTGTGTGGCGAATTTGGTGTTGGAAAAAAAGGGGGGTAAGAAGGGAGTGCTGAGGGGAGATGGATGCGTATAAGTTGGTTCGTGCGGCTAAAAACGAAAGGTTGCTGACGGAAGGTGATGACAAAAGGGTTGAGGATGACGGCCATGGGGGATTGGGTTAGGTCAAGAAGGGCGGCGAGAAGGTGATAGTTGCTTATATTTTGGTTCCCGAGGATAAACATTGAGAGGGTTGATGATGGAGTGATGACGAAAAGGGGGAGTGGAAAATGAAGTGCAGGAGGGATGTGACGACACGCTCTTTCTTTCAGTAATATCCATTTAAGCATGAAATATAGCTAAGATGCTCATTGTTGTTTCTGTATGAGATTTGTTGAAGTAATATTTACGGACGCACCTCGTCTGTGAAGAAAAGCGAATGTGATTCAACCACCGCTGCAATCACTTTCCCCATCACCTCCGCTCCTCCTCCCTCCCCGCCCCCTCTTTTCTCCGCTCCCACCTCCCCACTCCTCCCCCCCTTCGCAGCACCCGCGCTCACACCCCCAATACTCCCGCCGCTGCGCCCACTGCTTCCGCTCATGCTCCCGCTTCCGCTCAGGCTTCCGCTTCCGCCCGCATGCGCAGATCCGTGGGGGTTCCCCTTGTTATCCGCATCGCCCATATTCACTTCCGCTCCAGTCACAGGACACCTCAGCACCATTTTCTCCGCATTTGCCCTCCCATCCGCATCCCTTTCCGCCTTGACAACAACCTGCGCGCCAACCCCTGCGCCTAACCCAGACGCTTCCAGCCCTCCGACTCCCCCTCCCCCCATCCCCCCGTCCCTTCTCCTCCCAGCACCAGCAGGCCTGTCCCCGCCAGAGCTGGATGGCCGAGGCGAGAGCGTAGGCACGGGAAGAGGTACGGCAGCTACACCGTACGGATCCAAACCGCCACTGAACACATCGGTACCAACGCTGCCGCCAGAGGAAGCCAGACCTGTGGCGATATCGTTAGGGTTACCACCAGCCGGATACGGAGAGTAAAGCTCTAACCCCGAACCACCCGACGCGGAAGCAGAAAGGGACGAAAGACGACCACTGTCGCCACCACCTGAACCCACAGAGCCCCCACCTGGAGAAACACCTTCGGACGCTTGAGTGCTCGGGAAACGGTCCACCTCTCCCGACTTTACCACGTTTCCCCCCTCCTTCATTCTAGTCACACCCCCCGTTTGTGTCCCCAAACCTTGCGCGCCGCCAAAGTCAACTCGCTTATTGGCAAGTCGATCGAGGTCGAACGAACCGGAGCCGCCTAGAGCCTCCCTCGCGTGCAGCAGGCCGACTCCCCAGCCATTCCCTCGCGCCGCTACTGCCGCCGAAGCCGCCGTTACAGCGCTCCCAGCAATCGAAGCTCTCCGCGTCGCGCTCTTTAACGTGCTGAACTCCTGTTGCCCGCCTCTCGCTCCCGCCATACGAATAAGCTCCCCCGAGCCGCCGCCGGTGCTGCTTGTCTTCGCCGCGTCGAACGGCAGAACGGCCAGATCCGCCGCAACAGCCGCTTCGAGAGCCGATTCGAGGTTCCCGAGGGACCTCGTTCGAGTCATCCCTTGTGTATCTTGTTCCGGTACCGCGTGACTTTCTAACGGGAGAATTAGCCCCTCGATAAGATCCTCTCCGTCCGAGTCGCTGGCACCAAACTCGTCCGTGTCGCTTAGTTCGTCAATACCGCCGCTGCACAGCTCTTCCAGCGAAACGGGCATGTCGCCGCCGGTCATCGTGGAGCGAGACGAGGGGAAGCGCTGCGATTGCATGCTTCTCTCCGCTTCGCGCGCGTTCCGCATGGTGTGCAAATGATCCGCGGTCTTCCGCCGCGCGATCGCCGCTCCGCCCTCCTCGGCTTCCGCCAACCCCATCCCCATTCCCATCCCCATCCCCATCCCCATCCCCATCCCCATCCCCATCCCCAGTCCCATCCCCATCCCCGTCCCCGCACTCCGCGCCGGCACTTCGCGAGTGCCTTCTTCCCCATGCGCTGACCCACCCGAGTCGCCTGTTTTCGACCGCGTCAATTCCCATGGCACACCCTTTCCCGCGCTGTTACTGCCTCCGCTTCCTCCGGTGCTCCCCCCCGCGCTCCCCGCACTGTTCGCTCCGGCGGACTCGGCGCCGGGGCGCTCCGGATCGGCGGAATGGCGCTTCGCTAGCCGCGTCGCGGCGCTCGCCGCCGCCGCAATCTGGGCGGGAGATGGGGAGGAACCAGTTCCGCTTGCTCCGCGGGAAGCGGCGGCAATGGCGGCGGCCAAACGGTGATTAGCGACTGCTGTCTTTGAGGGGGAATCCCCCCTTAAAACCGCAGGGCTTAACGTGCCGGAATTGGCGGATAAGCTAACCTGGTTACTGTTCGGCGAGCCGCCCGCGCCTACCGCGGAGACGGATTGGAGGTGGCGAGCGATGGCGGCTTGGCGGAACGCGGAGACCTTCTTCTTTCCGCCGCTGGGAGAGGCGGTAAGAAGCGCGTCGGGCGCGGGGAAAGCCTTCAGCGCGGTAGGACCCAGTCTGCGGCGCAGCGCTTGCTGTTGGTTCTGCGCCTCCGCCTCCTGCTGCTGCTGCTGCTGCTGTTGGGTCTGTTGTTGCTCGCTGACCGCGTTAGTAGGCGCCTCGTTATTAAGCGTAGCCTGCACCTGCTGTGCGATAACAGGGTTAGCGACCGCGGCAGAGGCCTTCGCTGCCGCTTGCCTGCTTTGGAAATGCCGGAAGGATGAAATAAGAGGGACGCACGAATCAGCACAAGGGTTACCAATCCACAAACTCACGAGTGCTGCCGCGGAGTTACCCGGATAATGACCTGTATGTTAGCCTCTATTACGTCGTCGAAATATCTGCGACCGCGCAACCTATCCTTGCTCTCAGCTCTCACTTCCGAGGCGCGCGGATGTTTTCTGTCTTAGCGTTCGTTCAAGGCAAGCTGAACCGAATGGCCAGGTCGCATATACTATATCAGTTTGTTTTGAGACGCACCTCACGTCAAGCTGAGCTGAGCTAATCGATGACCGCGTTGAGCTTGTTGACCGCATTGACTTCGATGACCGCGACCCGCCGCGTCTGTCCTTGAACCCGATGTACTTGGCAAAGTCCGGCGAGTCAGGGACCTTCGGCATCGCCGCAGACGAAGGCGATGCGGCCACAACCTCCGCTGCCGCCACCGCGGCTCGCACGTCCCCTTCCCCCCCGCCATCCTCGCCCTCGTAACTGAGAAAGTTATGAAGCTCTTCGTCGAAGGCCTCCATGCCCTTGCTTAACCCTTCCGATAAAACCGCTGGCGCAATCTGCCCCTCCTCTACCTCCCCCTCCTCTCCTCTGCGGCCGCTGCCGCCGCTGCCGCTGCCGCCGCTGCTGCTACTGTTGCTTTTGGCAGGGTCGATTTCGACCATCGGGGGTAGTTTTGAGAAGGAGTAGGCGGAGAAGAAAGCGGTCCCTCCCGCGGAACTAGGAGCAGCTTTCGTTCGAACCGCTAACGCGGCGTCGGCGTTGGTCAGGGCGGTTGTCTCCTGGCGCGCGTCGACGTTCTGAATGTCCACCTGCAGTCGTGCCGCCATTGCGGCAGACGGCCTTCCGAACCCCATTGCTCGCAGACTTTATATAGTCGCAATATCAGTCAAGACGGTTAGCGGGTCCGAGAAGCCAAGCCCATCCAAGAAAACAAAATTGAAGCTACGGAATCAACACTACAGTGCCGCGAATTGATGATTAAGTTCGCTACAACTGGATTAAAGGTCTAGCCGGCAGCCACAGTCCAGGGAGCTCGTCACTTACGAAGTTACGTTTCCATGGGCGCCACTATACGAGGGAGAGCGACGGAGGGTTGATGCATGAAAAACGGTTTTGAAACAGCTGGCGGGAAGGGAGGTGATGCGGTGAACCAGTCAACCAATTTGATGGCGGCGCAGCTTTGGGGGGCAATTTCAAGCCATCAAGAGTGCAAGCAAGCTCCAGTGAAGTGAGAGGTGCGAGGAGGCTGGAGCAGATATGTTCAATGAGAGGGCGACTGTTTTGTTCGAAATTCATGAACCAGTGTCCGCGCGTTTCTGTAGGTCGTATGACTAGTTCAGGGGTCAGTTTTAAGGGCGTAAGTGGTTTAGGGCGACGTCAGGTTACATTTCTCAGCACCTTAACAGCTCTTGTATCGTGGCTCAGGACGGTTCCACACGGTAAGAAGCGGTTTTCAAGCTGTACCGTTTTGCACCGTGAAGAAACGGAGTTGAACGTACAGACGTTGTACAACCTGACGTCGCCCTTATTTCAGTGTGGACTGGCAACGAGACAGCCCACATTGGCATGATGACTAGGGACTACAGAGGTTTGTCGAATTCGAAGGGCGTTGCCCATTTGTAAAGAGAAATTAGAAACCACGAATTCCTGAACGGCGCCAGCCAATGAGTGCAGTCTTGTCGGTTTCCTGGAAAACGTCCTTGGAAAAATTGGAGCCTAGGGTGTTTACATTTGGCTTGGCTGTGGCTCGATATTGGCTCGGTTCTAAACTGTAGTGTAGAGACGAATCGAAACGGTGGGGTTAGGCGGGAGGGGGACCACACAGTAACCTTATGTGAGGATGTTTTACTGTATGGCTCGACGCGTAAACTTTCAGACCAGGGCTCAGGATATCAGGGCGTTTTACCCTATTTGCCCTGCATTTCAGAGTGAAATTTTGGACCCACACTGCTAGAACTGGGCTTGGCTGGGCGTCCACCCTGTCATCGTCAGGCAGGGCTGAAAACACACCCTGCAAATGATGTTTTACTCTTATGTGCAACACTGCCTTTTCTCGGCTGGTTACGGCAGATACCCTGCCAACTTTCCTCTTTTGTTGAACTTTACTAACTGCGCGGCTATTCCTCTAAGTAGCGTTTGTGAGTGAAGCTCCAGAATCGGATAGTACTTGAAACACCAGAGATTCAGCTCTAGCACGGCGAGTGGCGTTTGTGACTGAAATGTGTCAAGTAGCGTTTGTGACTGAAATTCCAGAATCGGCTAGTACTTTCAACACCATAGATTCAGCTCCAGCACAGAGAGTGGCGCGTTTTAGTAGTGACCGCACCTAGAAGACCCACCGACAGGCCTCTCATCTCCCCACCTACACCACTAAAACCTCAACCACCACGCACTTACGCATAGTTGTCGACCACTTAGAATCGAGCCAGGACGACCCGGCTCGACAAGATTTTCTGGCTCTAGGAATCATCGATATGGCAGGATCGACTGCTAGAACGAAAAGTTTTAGCTAGGCAGTGTTTTTGGATTTCTCACCCTGAGAGATTCGACCTCGAAAAAAAATCACACTGCCATTTCTTGGGTACGACCACCAAGGCACACTGCAGAGGCAGGGTGTAACGGGTCACAACTCGGATCAGGCAGCGTGCCCCAAAATGAATCGAGACCTCAGACCTTCTGTTGATTCAGATAACCGCGTGAACAGTACAGTGGAGCGGTGGTGTCCAGATAGGGTAGTGGTGTGTGCTATCGCACACTGGTGATCACATGCATGTGGCACAAAATCCGTGGTAAAATTCAGCGGTCACGGAAAACAAATGTGGTGTTGAACTAGGCCACGTTGAGCGTTGGACAATGAAATGCAGGTGCAGATGCACCACAGACAATTCATGAGTCATGGCAGCAAAGACATAGTACAGTTGGAGGGGGGCTGGTTGGATAATTGGATCGAATGGAGACGATATTCCACCCACAGATATCAAGAGAGTCAACTTGTGGACGAGATCAGCCAACGGGAGCTGCTCTTCCCGTCATAAGGAGGGAGAAGATCATACAGGGGCCAAAAAGTGCCAGAGATTTTTTCAAACAAAAGCCAAGAGGCCCGGAACTAACGAAACCACTGCGTTGGAAGGTATTTGCAAAAAGATATCATTTATTGAACGTATGTCCGTTAACACTTTGCATTTTCGCTCGCGCGTCATTTTACATGGAGATGTTTACTGATTCATCACCTTCCACCCCATAGCGTCGTTTAGCAAGCCAGAAACTCTCAGGGCAGCCAAAAAAACTAAAACCCCAAGGGGAACCTGGATGCATTTTCGGGATGGATCAACCCTAAAAACGGGAACGTTCGTTGTGTTCAGGGTTGATGCCTCCCTAGTCGCATCCATTTCCGAATGAGTAATTTTTTTTTTCTGTGCGTTTCCGATCAGGGAGTGATATTTATCACCCATAATGAATTTGTTTTTGGACCCACAAATTAACACAGCAATATTTACTTCCAGAAGAACGCGATGTGCGCGTAGTAGTAGACGGCAGTTGTAACCATTATTTCAAAAAGTTGGACACACAGTTTGGTATTGATAGCTTTTCTCTTTTAGTCACGGCTCGGCTTGTTCGCCTAGCCTCTTGGGCAGCTAGGCTTCGAAAATCCTACGGTCGAGATTTTCTAGCCCTACTTCAGTCATCCCTCTGGTACTCTTCGGCCTCAGTTTGATAATTTCCCACATCCAGTGATTCCCCTGGCCACGTGGCTTGTGGTGTTCGCATTTCGCGTCAGCTTTCGCATCGCGATTTCCACAAAACCGACATCGAAATTTGGTTGGAAACGGAACAGAACTTGGCTGCTGAAGAAGTGGTTGTTGTGATATATCCACTATAAGCTCAATAGGTTATTGTACAGTTGTGGCCTAAGCACCAAGCGACTCACTGCTCATCATATTTAGGATCTGTACTCTTTTTCCTTCATCCAGCAACTGAGTAGCTAGGTCGAATGCCGTTAGCCCATTCAAATCCGGCTGCAATGGATCAAACCTCCGAGAAGCTAGAAGAAGAGAACACACTCCCACATGCCCCCACCCCACTGCAACATGGAGTGCACTACGCTTGCTCCTTCCTCTATCCTTGCTACACCTATTATCATCTCCTCCTCCTCTAGCTGCTGTTCCCTCCTGCACCCCCTTCTGGTGTTCCTGCTCTTGCTTCTCCAGCAGCCACTCAACAGCTGCCACATGCCCCCTACTCGCCGCCCAGTACAAAGGCGTGGTGCCAGAATTATCCGAAGGATCCAGGTCAGCCCCGTGCTGACTCAGCGCGCGCATGGCATCCACATGGCCAGCTGCAGCAGCACGATGAAAAGGTGTTGCCCCAGATGCATCCTTAGTGTTGACATCAACTAAAGCTGTGGCTGCCGACGCATCGCAACTGTTTGAGTCAACTAGAGGTAGCTTACTGCCAGAGTTACCAAGCTCAATCGGCCTGGAAAGCTGAGCAAATGAATTTGTTTGGGTGTTAGTATTGGTGCTTGTCTGAGAGCTGGGATTGGCTTGACCTGGTGCTGTGGCGCCACCAGCGAGCAAATTGATGACTGCCACGTGTCCCCCTGCAGCTGCCTCGTGGATCGGCTCTGAACCAGATGAGTCCCGTGCCGTGGGATCGGCGCCGTGCTTCAGCAGCAACTCACAGACCGCCACGTGGCCATGCAGGCAGGAGGAATGCAGGGGTGTACGGCCGTTGCGCGTGCGCGAATTCACAAACAATTGTGATTGGCGTTCGCTGTTCACCAAGGGACTACGGGCCGGACATGTGAGAGAAGACACTGATGCAGTTGAACTGGATGTGGGAGAAGCAGACGCGCCTGCACAGCCCACACCTTCGTCTTTATTTTCTCCCTCTCCACGAGGCGCTTCACCTGACAAATCCATATGCTTGTCTTCTCTCTCCGCAGCATCCACCAGCATCGCCACCACCTCCTCTACCCCTGCTCGCGCCGCCAGGTGAAGCGCGTTCTCCCCGCACCTGTCCGCCGCCCGCCACGCGCTCGCGCGCCCGCCTCCCGCGCTTCCCCCCGCGGCATTCTCCGAGCTATCGGCGCCGAGTTTCCCCGCGCTTTCCCCCACACGCATGTGCGCCAGCAGGAGCCTCGCGCACTCCGCGTGTCCCCCCGCGGCCGCGCAGAGTAGCGGAGTGAAGCCGTTGGCCTTCCGCGCGGCGGGGAGCGCGCCCAGGGAGAGCAGCAGGCGGGCGATTTCGGCGTGCCCGTGCGCGCACGCCTCGTGAAGCGCGGACTTGCCAGACGGATCACGAAAGTTGACGAAATCCGTTATCTCAGCTGTAACTGTGCTACCGACCGAAAACCATGATGTTCCCACTGTGAACATCATCCATTCCGATTTTTCTAACATATCGGCGCCTTCGAAATTGCTGATTTTGAAAGTCGAGATTCCAAATCTATGGTTGAGGATTTTTTGCACACGAGTCAGATCGCCGTCTCTTGCGGCGAGATGAAACGACCGCCAATCGGCGATAGTTGGCGAAGTACCACTACTAGCACCTTCGCGAAGTCGTCTTGTAGAGCTATTAGCGATCGAGGCGGGTCCTGCGCTCGCGGCAGCGCAACGACCCTGTTTGTTTCGTCGTCGTCCCATACCAAAGCGGCTCAAAATGTGCTGGAAAAACCAACGAATCTTCACGCATGAGTTTGCTCAGGTAGTGAGGTAGGCTTCAGAGCATGCAATACTTCGTGCCATCAAGGCGTTGTTCGGGAGAACCAGAGGAAGAGGAGTACATGATCCAGAGGATGAATAGTACTAGGCTCGGGGGCCCAAAAATCGCTTGCGACCCCCTTGCGACCACTTTCGTGACCTAACCTCGCGGTTTGGAAATATCAACCTCAACTTCTCCTCTGCAGCGGCTCGAGATACCGAGCCGCTGCCCCAACAGTGGGTTGACTGCACAGTAATCACAGGCAATTCTTTCCTCACTTTCTCCTCGCCATGCTCTAGCGAGGAGAAAGTGAGCCTCAGTCCTCAACGAAATTTGTTGGGCATCTCGGATTCCGCTTCAATATTACCCAGGGCATAATTTTACGACCGAAATTGTACCAACGTGTACAATTAACGAGACACAATCCACACTCTCTCACTCCACGGCTAGGTCGCCAGCTCAGCGGCCCGATGCTTCCTCACGACTGAGAATGTAGCCGCAAACTACGGTTAGCCTCAGCGTCTAGGCCTAGCTGCTTGCAGACCAACGGGTGGATAGGAGACGGTATAAACATATTGGTAGTCACGATTTCTAACCCTAACTTATATACCTGGTTGACAATTCTGCCACGAATCCATAGCTTGGATTAGGGTTTCGTGCTATGGGATCAAGAGATGACTAGTCGAGAGAGCCCGAACACAATTCCAGTCGTGTTGCAAGGGGTGCTTCGGTCTCGAAAATACGTTTTGGGTGGACGAGGAAATGGGAAGGGGAGAGTTCCGATCAGATGGTAGATGCGATTTGGCATCTTGACCTCCGGCGTGCGGTGGTTGTCGTTTTTGCTCGAATTGGGGCGTTGACCATGCACACCCCTGTCATTTTCTCCAGCTGGCGAATCTGATTGTACAGCTGTCGACACTGTACAATTTGTCAAGTGGTGTGATGTCGTTTTTCTTATTCAGGCTCGGTGCAGAGCAGCATCCTCTTCCTCTGTTTCGGCGCTCCCGAACACCGCCCAAGAGTGAAGAGTGCTGTGGCTATCTCCTCTGATGAGTAATTCGTTGTGAGAGTAGAGAAGTTGGATTTAAGTGTTATGGTTAACTCTGGTAACCAGGAGTGGCCGTGTAGTTCGGTGAGGATTGCATTCTCAAGGTTTTGCATCATACACCCTCATTCTCGTTAGACTGGCATATGATATAATGACCGGGACGCTTAGTGTAGCCGCAGCGGACCAAAGATGGTCCTATCACATGCGTTATACTGACAGTTTGACCCAGGGCGTTTAGTCAGGGTTGTATACGTTCTAGAATGGTAATGATTTGTTCTAAACGGTTTAGACAGCTATTCAGCGTTAACGGAATTTTACGGCCCAAGTCTGGTTTCGTCGCCTCGTGCGACTTGGCCCGCAACCGAGTTATCTCACCAGCCCGCTACGTCCAAACACTGTAGCCACTGCTTCCGCCGGTGAGAAGACTGAGAATGAGGGTGTATCGATATTTTGGCGTGAAACCACAGTAACCCAGCTGCAAGCAACCTCCCTCCCACTAGGGCGTCCGCTGGCAATATCGCAGATCATCGTCACACCACATGCGACACTCGCTCAAGAAACAAAACCAGCCTCAACCACCCCAAGAAAACCGGCGACTGGGTCAGGCTAGGTGGCCTGCTGCTGGGCTGAAATGTATTTTTCTTCGGGGTCGCCGAAATTTGACGTGGTGAGGTGAGGTGATGGGGCCAAAAGTACAAATCTCAACACCACACTGCCAACCTGGCGATTGCCGTGCCGAACCAGGCCCAGGTGGTTCTGCTCGGCTGGATGGCTGGCTGCCCGCATACCAACGAGGCGCGAATGAAGCACTGCGAAGCGCACATGTTGACCAACCACCGGCCCAGACCACCACCAGACCTGACTCACCCGCCCCACAAATTGTCTTTTTCCCCCACATCTTACCTCATCCCCCAAACCTATCCCATAACATCCCATCCCATCCCTTTCCATCCCATCCCTTTCCATCCCATCTCATCCCATCCCATCCCATCCCATCCCATCCCATCTCATCCCATTCCTCTTACGACATCTTTAAGGGCGCGTGTCTTTTTGTGTAGAAGTTCGAAAAAAGGTCGAGCTTTTGCTGGTAGCCAGCTTCGCCAATCTCGTACAGAGCTATTGACGACGAACATGTGTCCAAGCTCAAAGTTACTGAAACAGAAGGACACTGAACTAGGGTCGACCTCGCATTCGACTATCCCCGAGCACGTTTCTCCAATCGTGTGTTCTTCGAAGAAGCTGCGAGATTCGCGATGGTTACGAACCACGTCGCGCCAGGTTACCAGAGTTTAAAGTGCTAACGAGCTTCACTGTATAGACAGGGTAACCTTCGAAACTTGGTGCGACTCGGATTTTACTGTACAAGTTCGACCTTTGAAAGTCGAGCATTTCTTGTGCCATGTGCTCCACGTCAAGGTGAACACGCGACTCGACAAAGAAATGACGAGATAGTCGACTACAGGTCGACCTGTGGCCTAAAATACATGAACTTTGGCCTAAATTTCAAAAGACACGCGCCCTGACTACCTCTTTCTCTTGTTCGCACCCAAACACACCCCCCCCCCCCCACCCCCCCCCCCCCCCCCCTCCCCCCCACACGCTCGTCTCCCCTTTCCTCTCCTCCTGCGGTAAGTATTTTCAAGAAAGCCATCATCTCCTCATCTTGCTGCTACTCGACTCCTGCTTCTCCTGGGCCAACTGCTCTTTTGCTCATAACTCCCCGCTCATTCTTCCCCACTACACCAGCTCCTTTCGATCAGATAGCTGCCTGTTCGGTACCCAATCTTCCCAGGATCGTGATTCCCGTCTGGCACTCTCAATCTATTCAGTTGGTTCCCGCTACTTCATCCCACTTATTGTTTTAGAGCCGTTTAGTCTTCTCATTTGTCTGAAGTGTAGACTTTTCCTGGCGGATTTATCGTTCCCCGCAGCAAAGCTTTTTGAGTCGACTAGAACTATAACCACTCGCACCGCTCACTCAGCAAGCTTCTTCTTGGTCGGGGACTTACACGCTTAGGGTTTGATAACAATAGCTTCTTTAAGTTCTTCTTGGTTGCCGACTTTGCCGTCGCCATGACTCGGTTGCGGCAGCATCTCGCGCTGTCAATCGCCGTAACCACTCTCGGTACTAGCTACGTTTCTCTTTGAACGTCTTTTTTTTCTCCTTTTTCTGTTCTTTTTTTAAGCTAGACATTCGTTTAGCTAGACACCTCAACACATTTTTCGGCTTTTTTGTTCTTTCATTTTCACCTCGCTTTCGGTTTGAATCCGCGTGTAGCGCGGATCCTTCTTTGCAAAGCGCCCCAAAGGTCACGCGTAGCTTACTGTGATATTGCACCCGCTGCACTACTTTACCTGGCCCAATAGGCTTGCTCCTCCCCCTTCACCTCTCCCGCTTCCGCAACCACGCAGTCGCCGCGTCGCTATGGAGATCAGCTAGCGCGATGGACGCCACCGCCGCCGCCGCCGCCGCCGCCGCCGCTTCAGCCGTTGCCGTTACTTCCCAACGGTGGCCGAAAATAGTAGGTCAGTGCCCTCCTCGTTTTCCCCACTCCCTTACTCTTCGAGCGAACTTCCCACGCGGCGGCGTTTCCCGCTTCGCGTCATCGCTTTGGCGTGAGCGCTTTCGCACAATTGCCGCAAGCACTTCTTTCCCACGCGTTTGAAACTAGGTGGCTTAATCCCCTCAACCCGCCCCAACCCGCCCCCATCCGCGCTACAGTGCACTCCGAGTCTCCTTTAAGGCCATGTCTTCGGGTATTTGAAGGAATTAACGGCGTCGCCACCATTTCCTCCTTAAAGTCACAGTGAGTACAGTCACACCACCCCCTTCCCTATAGTACTCCCCTATTGCCCTCTGCTGTAAGCATCCCCTTGCCTTCGCCATTTGTCACTCTTCCTCTCATCTCCCCCTTCACCTTTTTTTCCTCCCTTCTCCTCCCAACCTCACACCCCTCCATCTCCTCCCCTATTTTCTCCCCTCCCCCTCTCTCCATCCCCCCCTTCCACCCCTCTGCCCATCTTTCCCAATTCAGAGCAGGCAAAGATTCTGTCTCCTACTCCCTCGTGATCTCCGGAACCGCCTCTCCCCCTATACACTCCAGCCTCGTTATAGGCAACCCCTGTAACCCGCTCATGTCACCAAAACATTTTCTCACTATGAACGGCACCTGGGTAGCCTGGTCATACAAGAATCAGCCCGCCTGGATGTTACAGGGCAGGGTTACTACCCCCAAATTGGTCCGTGCTGTGCTGTCCTACGGCCGATCGTACGGTGGAGATTTGTCCGATCTGCGTGTGGCGTTTTTCGGCAATCAGACACTCGCGGGGAGAATGAAGTTAGTGGGAGTGACAACTGTTGCTCCAGTAATGCCGTCTACACTCATTACTCAACGTCTTGCTCGATTTGGTACTGGACCAGAAGTTTCTGTTTCTTCTGAGGTTCCTGGTGCAAGTGACAAGTGGTATATGGAGTCTGGGCGGCGGACAGCTAGCAGACAAGGGCGGCCACTGGGACATGGATTAAGAGGCGAAGAAGAAGCATGGTGAAGCGGCTTTGCATGGAAGGGAAGCACAGCATGACATCCATGCATAGAGTTCAAATGAATTGATGATATCCATGGGCCCTCACTCATGGGGATAAGCAGCAAGATGGGAGTGAGTTCGTGTGGCATGTTTACTGTAGGTCCACGTTACAAACAGTGTTCATGCCACACCTAATTCATTTATTCTTTTATTTTTTGTTCACGTTAGCAGCAAGACCCCCCCACCCCATCAAGCTAACAAAATTCCACTCACCAGCGGAGACAGCAATGGGGGTGAGCAAGAACCTGTAGGCAGATTCACAAGCATGAACCTTAGTGTGTACGTCCTGTTTTGGGTCTGCTACACTGCAGCAGGTGCCATATCGGCGGCATCCAACCAGTTGTGGTCAAAGGTAAGTATGTTTTAAGAAATCATCATACAGAGTGTTTTGTACAAAAATCCCCTCTATTGAGCTGCTGACCCTGTAGCTGCTGCTCCTGACTCTTCAGTCTCTGTCGGCACACCCAGGAAAATGTTTCCGGGCAGTGTGACTGGGTTCTTGAGCTCCACTACCACTTTTTTCCAGTCCGGGCGGCGGTAGTATCCAAACCGGCTCCGCTTCTTCTTGCCCTCATAATTCATTGTGTGTACCCGGCTCACTTCAAGGTTGTATAGCGTCTCTAGGTAACGACGAATCTCCACCTATCAGGAAAGCACAAGCGGGGGAAGGAGAGAAAATGTAACGCGCTTTTGAATAATTCTCAAAAGTGACACAAACATCACTTCAAGGTTGTATAGCGTCTCAAGGTAATGGCAGAATTCCACTTACCTAGTAAGCACAAGTGAGCACAAGGGAGGAAAAGAAAGCAATTGTAACGCTTTCAAGATTCAATCATCACTTCAAGGCTGTAGACTGTCTCAAGGTAAAGGCGAATCTCCACCTACCAGGTAAGCACAAGTGAGCACTAGGGAGGGAAAGAGAGGGATTGTGACAGATACAAGGTAAGTGAGGGAGAGAGAGAGGAGGGTATGGGAGAGGGTGAGGGGGAATGGCAGGAGAAAGGGCGAGAAATGGAAGGGACGGGAAGGGACGGGAAGGGACGGGAGAGGAGAAGGGATGGACACGGGAAGCGACTTTTGAGGCGCCTCCTGTCTCGCGGTTTTGAGGCGCCTCCTGTCTCGCGGTTTTGAGGCGCCTCCTGTCTCGCGGTTTTGAGGCGCCTCCTGTCTCGCGGTTTTGAGGCGCCTCCTGTCTCGCGGTTTTGAGGCGCCTCCTGTCTCGCGGTTTTGAGGCGCCTCCTGTCTCGCGGTTTTGAGGCGCCTCCTGTCTCGCGGTTTTGAGGCGCCTCCTGTCTCGCGGTTTTGAGGCGCCTCCTGTCTCGCGGTTTTGAGGCGCCTCCTGTCTCGCGGTTTTGAGGCGCCTCAAAAGAAGGGATGGACACGGGAAGAGGAAGAGCCAGCAATTAAATGGGAAGAGAAGGGTTAGAGCATGTAAAAGGGCGCCTCGTTCCTCCACAGCCTGGAAAGGGGAGCGACCATGCAAGGCAGATAACAGGAGGTGCTAATGGAAGGGTTGTGTTTTGAGTCGACTCAGAATATGAGAAGAGAAGGCAAAGAGCATGAACAAAAGAGCCTCGTTCCTTCACAGCGTGGAAAGTGTAGAACAGGAGATGCTAATGGAAGGGGACGGGCCGATGCGGTTCAAAGGAGGAAAATGGTAGACGGAGGGTGACAGGGAGGCTGAAGACGGAGAGAGAGGGAGAGAGGTGAGAGAGAGGGTGAGATGGGTGTGTGTGAGAGAGAGAGGGGTGAGAGAGGTTAGGGTTGAAAACTGAAACTGTATATTGTCCTAGATAATCCCCTTATTTTTTTTTTTGAATTATAGAAAAAAAAATGTATATTGTCCTAGACCAATTTCGGAAAAGTCCTCCCGGGCCTTGATAACTGGCAGATGATCAGGATAAACTATCAGGACAGTGAAAAGTATCTCACCTTATTAACGGACGGTATGGTTCTAAAGACGACCTCCTTAATATTCTCCAGCGACTCGGGCCGGACGATGCGGAGGGGAATGTTCGCGAAGTGGACGAGTCGGCCCATAACGGGGATGCGGAGGATGATACGGAGGAGACGGAGGATGCGGATTCGACTACGCGTTGACACGTGGACGACGGGTGGCGGACGAGTTGGGAAGGTGCGGAACGTGGTTTTGTGCGTTGGCGGATGGTGACTAAGGAACGGATCGTGACTTGCGACGTTGAGGAGGACGGGCCGCGCTCGAGTGGGAGGAAAGCGCGGAATGAATGCGTGGAACGTACGAACGCGACGCGGACGACGCGGCTTGAATCACGGGCACACCGAAAGGCAGACGCGCTACGCGGAAAAGGCAGGAAATGCTTTCTAGCGACACCCAAGCGGACGACACCAGCAGATGAGGGAATTGGGATCGCGAGGATCGAACACGCGGCGCGGAGGTACACCGATGGCGTCGCCACGTTCGCGACACCAAACGAACGATCAGTAAAGAACGAGCCCACGTGCTGTCTCAGACCGCGACGCCTTTGAGGTTCGCCCGTAATACCTAAGTTCCTACGACCCAGCTTGATTTGCTACTTGGTCTACTTTCCTCTCCTGTAGTCTGCTCGGTGGATCTGGATTCCCGATGAGTTCGATACGGTCTAGGGAGATGAAAAAAAAACTTCTTTAAACGGTGCCTCGTTACACATCTACGGAACGAGCACAGAAACTAGGACACATGATTGTGAAGTGTCCCATACAAGCTGCGACATGTTCTATTTTATTCCCACTAAGAACTACCAACCATACATGGACTAGAGTATTCCTAGGCATTTTCACATTTCCGTAAACACTTGAAACCTTCCTCTTCATAGTCCGCACGAGTTATCCAAAAATCGGGCTTGTCCTGAAAACAAGGCACGAAGAAATCACAAGCCGAAAACAAAAGCAAAGAAGGGTGAGTACAATGCCACATGAGAAAACGCCGTACTTACATCTAATTAAAGTCTCAGCCAGAACTAAGCAAAGAAACCTCAGTGCAGTGCATACCTTCATAATATCGGCCAGAACAGCACCCCCAAGAAACACAAGGTGCTTGCGATTCGGGGGGTCTTCAATCCGTAGCTTGAATTTCTGCTTGAATAAAGTTGGTCAAACAGTGTGAAAAGATAACTCTGATGACAGATGAAGGGTGCAAGTCATTCTGACACATGTGTGTGCAGTGCAGGTCGGAATTGAACTCGTCCAGTATATGCATGCATGCTTTTTTGAATCTGTACACAACAATGCCACATACGTCTAACCAGCCCATCACACACACGCACATACACAGACACCCACACACCCACCTTAAAGCCTTCCTTAATGCCCTTTAGCACGTGATTCAGGTGTGCTCCCTCACTTCCCTCTCCGATCAATTTGGCAGCCCGGGAAAACGTTTTTTTAGGCATTTGAAGAAGAGGAGAGAGAAAGCCACTCACCTTGAGTCCGTCCTTATTGCCCTTGAGCACGTGCTTCAGGTAGCAATCCCTCACTTCCCTCTCCAACATATCACATAAGGCGCCTCCCAAGCAACCAAAAACCTCCCAAGCAACCAAAAACCTCCCACGCAACAAAAAACCACCCACGCACCTTGAGTCCGTCCTTATTTCCCTTGAGCACGTGCTTCAGGTAGCGGTCCCTCACTTCCCTCTCCAATCGTGTGGGCAGGCCGGGGAACATGGTAGACCCGCCACACAGCATGATGTGCTGGTACAGCTGGTGGTGTACAAGACGGAAGAGAGGAGAGAGGAGAGAGGAGGATGATTGAGCGGATGCGCAGTTGGTGGTGGTGGTTTATGGCCATTCCTTGAATGGTTCTAAAGAGATGGTCGCGTCAACCTACAATCAGAATCGAATTAACTATACGTTGTGTCGGATTAGTTCTATGACATTTGCGTGAATGTTCTATGTCCATGTCTTGAATGGATCTGAGGAGACGAGCACATCAGCCTACAATCAGCCAGTACTTAGTCAACCCGTGCAGAAGGAAAGGGGAGTGAAACGCTTACACTCAAGCGATGGTCTATGTCCATGTCTTGAATGGTTCTGAAGATGACATCAGCCTATATAAGTTGCCTATACTAACGTCAATCCGTGCATAAGGAAAGAAGAGTGAAACGCTTACACTCAAGCGATGGTCTATGTCCATGTCTTGAATGGTTCTGAAGACTACATCAGCCTATATAAGTCGCCTATACTAACGTCAATCCGTGCAGAAGGAAAGAAGAGTGAAATGCTTACACTCAAGCGATGGTCTATGTCCATGTCTTGAATGGTTCTGAAGATGACATCGGCTAATCCTAGCCCTTCGTTGTCGATCAGCTCCTGTAAGCATCATGCATACCATGCGATGCCATGCCATGCAAAGATTATTGATTTGACATACGCACCAGTTTTGAGATTCCAAAGGAGGAATGCTACAAATAAACACACACGGGTTGTTCCTTCGCACGACAAAATACTTTTTTTCTTAGGCAAAATGCAGGCGAATCAGAGAGCCTTCGAAATTCGACAAGGGAGTCAACAGCGTGCGGATGGAAAGAAGAAACATGGTACAAAAGACTTGAAGGATGCTTTCCTAAGAGCGGGCGAGGAGGAAGGAGACGAGAGAAGAAGGAAGCATACGGGGGAGAAGAGGGCTTCTGGTGCTTGGAACCGCTCCGCACCGATCCGAATCGTTCGACCATCAGGCAGCTGATGATGACGATGAGAGAGGAAGGGAGAGAGGGAGGGGAGTGGGGCGGGGAGGAATCGGAGCAGTGTAAATAAGGATATAAGGAGAGGGGTGGATTGAGAGACTGGTGTGTGCACAGCCCCTGTGTGTGTGTGTGTGTGTGTGTGTGAGTGAGTGAGTGAGTGAATGAGAGAGAGAGCATTCGCATGCAACTGGATCCCTCTCCCGTCGCAGTCACAACTGGTAATGAGAGAACGAATTTCGAGCCAAAGCAATGCTCGTTGTCCCCCACTTGCCACTCACCATAAATTGTTTGACAAGCCCTGTGGTGTGGTGTCCTCAGCCAGTTGAAGTGAGGGTAGTGAGGTGCATTTTGAGGCGCCTCAAAATGTCCCCCCCACTTGCCACTCACCATAAATTGTTTGACAAGCCCTGTGGTGTGGTGTCCTCAGCCAGTTGAAGTGAGGGTAGTGAGGTGCATTTTGAGGCGCCTCAAAATGTCCCCCCCACTTGCCACTCACCATAAATTGTTTGACAAGCGCTGTTGTGTCCTCTGCCAGTTGAAGTGAGGGTGTTTTTGAGACGTCTCAAAAAACCCACTCACCATAAATTGTTTGACAAGCACTGTACTGTGGTGTCCTCTGCCAGTTGCATCTCTCTTGCACTCACATCACAACTGATATGACATGCCGGCAGGATGGATACTGAGTGAAACCAGACTCATTGGCCCCCAATCTCCACTCACAGTGAACTCTTTGACCAGCACTGTGGTGTCCTCAGCCAGTTGCATCTCTCTCTTGTAATCACAGCTGATACAGTCAACATGAACCGCCGTGATCAGGGCAAGGGAATGGCATGGTAAAATGGGGGCTGAGGAGGGGGTGTTGTGGAAGGAGCTGAAGAGGACGACAACGATACAAGTGAGTTGAAAGAAGAGTAGTAACAAGACGCATTCACTCACTCGCTCACTTACCCTCACACTCACTCACCCACTCACTGTCTCATTCACTCTCTCACTCACTCACTCACTCACTCACTCTCTCACACTCTCACTCTCTCACTCGCTCACTCACTCGCTCACTCACAGACTCCCTCACTCACAGACTCCCTCACTCGCTCACTCACAGACTCCCTCACTCGCTCACTCACTCACACACTCACACACTCACTCACTCACTCACTCACTCACTCCCTCACCTGACAAAGCACAACTGTTCCTTGATGGCCCTCGCTGCCTCAAAGTCCGACACCTTGCTGAAGGGGTAGCTGGTGCACGGTGTGGGGGGGGTGAGAGGCAGGCGGGTTGAGGAGAGGGAGAGTTGGGGAGAGCGAGAGGGGTGGGGGGGGCACAGGGGAAGTAGAGCTGCTCCTTGTCCTTGATGGCCCTTGGAGCCTCAAAGTCCGACACCTTGCTGAAGGGGTAGTTGGATCAGCGGCAGGCAGGAGGGAAGGAGCGGGCGAGTTGGGGAGAGAGAGGGGAGTGAGATGCCAGAGTTCAACAGCAAAGGGGAAAGCAGAGCTGCTCCTTGATTGCCCTTGCAGCCTTGAAGTCAGACACCTTGCTGAAGGGGTAGCTGGCGAGAAAAGGGGTGCGAGGCAGGCGGGCACCAGACGAGTGAATTTAACAATACGATAGAATCCTAGTCAATTATGAATACCAGCAATGTATGTACGAATGAGCACATACCCGCGGCGCATCATGAGGTCAATGAGGTGAGACGTGCTCTGCCTGCCTGCCCCGTGTGCTCTCCCCTTTGTGCGTGGCCTCAACAGTACCAGAATCCGAGCCACATGCGCACGAGGATATGGGTTCGAACCGCAGCAAACGAATCCGAGCCACATTACGACACAGCGATGAGGGTGACTTTTGAGTCGACTCAAAAGCCACATTACGACACAGCGATTAGTTTTGAGAATTCTCAAAACTAATCTCAAACAAAATTTACGACACAGAGATGAGGGTACGAGTGAGCACCACACGTACCCGCGGCGCATCACGAGGTCAATGAGGTGAGACGTGCTCTGCCTGCCTGCTATGCTCAATGCGAGTAGACCCAACATTACAATAGAATCCAAGTCAAGCATGAACACCGAGACGTCTGTACGAGCGAGCACCACACGTACCCGCGGCGCATCATGAGGTCAATGAGGTGAGACGTGATCTGCCTGCCGGCTATGCTGATCCGCTTGGTGAGGTGCGGGTATGCAAAGCCCTCCACCACAGGGACCTGGAAGGAGGGAAGAACAAGAGGGATGAGGAAGGAGTGAAGGCAAGAGGGTATGCGGACACATGAATTGTTTTGAGACGTCTCAAAACACTTCTTCAAACGCGTGGCAAGAGGGTATGCGGACACATGGATTGTTTTGAGACGTCTCAAAACACTTCTTCAAACGCGTGGCAAGAGGGTATGCAGACACATGAATTGTTTTGAGACGTCTCAAAACACTTCTTCAAACACGTGGCAAGAGGGTATGCGGACACATGGATTGTTTTGAGACGTCTCAAAACACTTCTTCAAACACGTGGCAAGAGGGTATGCGGACACATGGATTGTTTTGAGACGTCTCAAAACACTTCTTCAAACACGTGGCAAGAGGGTATGCGGACACATGGATTGTTTTGAGACGTCTCAAAACACTTCTTCAAACACGTGGCAAGAGGGTATGCGGACACATGGATTGTTTTGAGACGTCTCAAAACACTTCTTCAAACGCGTGGCAAGAGGGTATGCGGACACATGAATTTGCTCTCCCTCCCTTTTGAGTCGACTCAAAAGTCACCTCAGTGGCAAGAGGGTATGCAGACACATGGATTTGCTCTCCCTCCCTGGGAGTATGCGGAGGGAAGCACGATAGAGGAAGAAGGGAGACGTGGGATGGGAAGAGGAGGTTCAGTCTAAAAAGAACTCGTCAACCTCTCTCTGAGCACCAGAGGAAGAAGGGGGGGATGAAGATAAGGATTGTGAGAATGGCTGTGAGGCGGTTCATGCGAATGAAGGTGTGCAGTGTGTTTTGGCAGCGGTACTTACTGCGTGAGTGGCTCTCTCCCCAGAGTCCACTACAAGCCCTGTCAGAAAGGCTTTTGAGGCGTCTCAAAAGCAGGCGTGCATGATTTCAATGATGCACCTACCTCTGCCTCAAAAACAGGATTCAAGGGGAACAGCGGTGCTTACTGCATGAGTGGCGCTCTCCCCAGATTCCACTACGAGCCCTGTCAGGACGATTTTGGAAGCGCCTCAGAAGCAGGCGTGCATGAGTTCTAAGGGGCACCCCTTCCCCAAAAACAGGAGGCAAGGGGAAAAAACGGTGCTTACTGCGTGAGTGGCGCTCTCCCCAGAGTCCACTACGAGCCCTGTCAGAATGCCTGAGGGAGAGATGGAGACGGAGATGCATGGAGAGAGAAGGGGAGGGTGAGGGAGAGGGGAAGGGTGTATCTGACGCAGTGTGTTCAGAACGCAAATCAGTCAGCAAGAAGCTGCAACAATCTCTCAAGTAGAAAAGCGGCAGTATTTGATGAATGCCGCAGCATTGAAAAAAAAAGCAGCACCCAGCAGCACCCCACAGCACCCCACAGCACACAGAAACACGTAGCAGCAGCACCAAGCAGCACACCTTGGGCGTAGAGTGGCAGCACGGCTTGCAGCTGAATGAAGAGGGAGTCGAAGTTGTACTTCTCAAACATCATTTGCAGCTGTGGTGGGGGGTGGCGGGAAGGGCGTAGGGGAGGAAGTACAGGAAGGGCGGGTGCATCAGTTGCAGATGCAGTGGGGAGTGGCGGGAGGGGTACAGGAAGGGCGTAGGGGAGGGTGAGGTGGATGAAGAGGGAGTCGAAGTTGTACTTCTTAAAAATCATTTGGAGCTGCAGTGGGGAGTGGCAGGCAGAGGGGCGGGAAGAGGGGCGGGAACGGGAACAGAGCAGGATCAGTGAGCAGGATCAGTGAGCAGGATCAGTGAGCAGGATCAGTGAGCAGGATCAGTGAGCAGGATCAGTGAGCAGGATCAGTGAGCAGGATCAGTGAGCAGGATCAGTGAGCAGGATCTTGCTCTCAAACAGATCGATCTTAAGCGCAGTGCCGAAGGTGTAGCCCCACACGTGCCCCTTTTCGTCCCACCCACCCAACCACCCACCCACCGTGCATCTGAATGACTCAAGCCAGTCAACCCCGAGTCCCCGACCAGTGCACAGCACAAAGCCTGCAAACCCTATGATGCCCTCACCATGCGTTGGCGGTTCTTAGTGGGGTTGAGAGGCGGGTCATTGAGAAAAATCTTGGTTTCCGATGGGTCGATCTTGAGAGCGGTGTTGAAGGTGTAGTCCCACACGTGCCCCATGTCATCCCACTCACCGTGAGTCCGAGTGACCCACCCCATGATGCACTCACCATGCGCTGGCGGTTCTTAGTTGGGTTCAACGGCGGGTCAGTGAGCAGGATCTTGCTCTCTGACGGATCAATCTTGAGCGCAGTGTTGAAGGTGTAGTCCCACACGTGCCCCATGTCGTCCCAGCGCTGCACCACTCCGTTGTGGATGGGGTAGGTCAGTTCCACTCGCTGCCCGCCCTGCTGCTGCTCCATGCACTGGGAGCCCACGAGGATGCTCTGCACAATTATGTAGGGTTGCAAGGGGTTGGCAGTAGGGTTGGCATGGGATGGGATTGGACTGAAAGGGATTGCTTGTGGATGGGGTAGGTCCGCTCCACTCGCTGCCCGCCCTGCTGCTGCTCCATGCACTGTGAGGCAACCAGAATGCTCTGCACAGCAGTGTGAAAATGGTGTTGGGTGGGTATGAAAGAGCAGGGGGTTACGGATCGCCTTGAGGGACTCTTGTGAATAGGGTAGGTCAGCTCCACTCGCTGCCCGCCCTGCTGCTGCTCCATGCATTGTGAACTGACCAGGATGCTCTGCACACAGCACAGCCCAGTAGGGTTGCATTGACATAGTGGAAGGGGCATTGAGGTCGCCTGACTTGAGTTGAGGGGTTGCCGTTGTGGATGGGGTAGGTCAGTTCCATGCGCTGCCCGCCCTGCTGCTGCTCCGTGCACTGAGTGACAACGCGTTACAGAGTGACAAGGTAGCAGGGCTTACAGGGGGTGCTTGGCCTTGGGAGGTTTCGTCGAGGCGGACGAGGCGTCGCCCGACGACATTGGGAATGACGGCGACGGGGAAGTTGTCGCCTGCGAACCCGCACTTGATGGACTGCGACAGACGGTCGCACGGGAATGAACGAGCGAGCGAACGAACGACGCATTGGAATGCAACTCAAAGTTTAAATAGATTACAGCGCGAGGAAATATTTAGGAATCAGGAGAGTGCTAGAATAATTGCGCGGCGAGCCGGTTATTATGTTACGCTTCACGAGGCATCGAATTGGACGGCCTTACCGCGCTGCCGTTATCGCAAACGACTATCTTTCGCCTATCATCCATGTCGAGTGCGGCTGCCGCGGAGAAGTAGCAGATACGAAAAGACACGTGCTGAAGGAATCTAGAAGAGTAGCGGGACTGGGAGGAGCTGACTATGCCGTCTAGGCTAAAACACATTACGTTCGTTGTGCATCCTGCTTGGATTATCTATTCTCTCCCGAGGCAGTATTCTTAGCAATTCCTACAATCAAGCAAAATTTACTTCGCAAGTATCGTCTGAACAAAATGTAGAAGCATATTGTGCATTAAAATATGTTGGACGATGCTGAAACGGGAATGCCAGCCAACCCCAGTTCTGCTTCGTGCGCTGCTTCCGAGCCAGTTGCTTATAACGAAGCCTTACGCAAAGCCAAACGGGAAAGGGTCTTGTGGACCTGCCCAACGGCCTAAGGTCGAGGCGCCACCGTACTGGAAACCCGATAAAACTATAGGAAACCTAAAAGCCGTTTCTGACTCCTTTCTAGGACATCTGAAAACGAATTCTACGGTTCAGCATTTGCTTGTCGTTGACCTTGCCTCGCTAGCTCTCATGTCACAGTAGACATGCCACGGCAGCCATCGATCATGTCGCCTCGCCTGTCGGTAGTTTCGAGGGACCCTTCTGGGCGACGCACGGAGGTTCTTGCCTGACGCGACCAATTTATTCTCGCTCGCGATGGCTTCCTTGAGTTTGGAGTCTTATGCATCAGGAGCGTTTCATTTCATAACCGTTTTCGCCGCTGCCATCTCCCGCAAACTAACCAGTTGATCCAAAACAGACGAATTCATCGTAATCCGAAAGGTCTATTCTCAGCAGAGTTGTTTTCTTCTTTCAAATAGCTCGAGACAATGGCTGCTGAATCAGCGACGGGCTCGGAAGTCAAGGTACCAAGCGAGAGTACTACTCGTAGTACGACTACTAACGGCGTGGAGCACAAGGAGGAGTGGTTCACAAACTCACGCGGAATGAAATTAATGTCCGCGTCCTGGGTTCCGGCGAACCGACCGTTGAAAGCGCTCATCCTCCTCCTTCACGGTACGTCGCGATGTGACATTTGAGGCGGCACTAGAAACTCAACAGCCGAAATCACTCATCTTCTTCCCTTACGGAGCATCCACCTTCACGGTACATCTCACTTTAGATAGGAGAACAGGGGTTGGTAATGGTAGGCCTCGGCGCTATCCTCGTTATACTGCCAGGACCTCATTCTGTACGTATTCTGCGCATTTCCGTTGTTACAAGCCTTTCCCTTTGTTAATTCCCTCCCGATGTTTTTTGTTTTTTTTCTCTTACCGTTCGTGGCGTGGCAGGATATGGCTTCGATTGCACCACTTACTTCCAAGGTACAGTACACTGCTTCCCCGCGCTGTGCCCCTTCCCCGCGCTGTGCCCCTTCCCCGCCCTGTGCCCCTTCCCCGCCCTGTGCCCCTTCCCCGCCCTGTGCGCCCCTTCCCCGCCCTGTGCCCCTTCCCCGCCCTGTGCCCCTTCCCCGCCCTGTGCCCCTTCCCCGCCTGTGCCCCTTCCCCGCCCTGTGCCCCTTCCCCGCGCTGTGCCCCTTCCCCGCCCTGTGCCTCCCGAAGTTTCGAGTCAGTGTCCATTGCTTTCACGTCCTTCCCTCCCACCTCACCCATCCTCCTTTTTTCCACCCGCTTTTCCTCCCTCTATTTCTCCCCACCTCCTCCTTTCCTCCCTCGTTTCCTCCCCTCTTCCCTGCGCTCCTCCTCCCCACTTGTGCAGACACGGCAGAGCGACTGGCGTCAGAAGGGTATGGCGTGTATGGGATCGACTTCGAAGGGCATGGCAGGTACATCATGCTTTCCAGGCACTTTCCAGGCACTTTCCAGGTACTTTCCAGGTGAAGAGGACAGAGGGGTATGGCAGGTATGCCGTGCGTTCTTTTCCAGGCACTTGTCCAGTGCTTGAGTGGTTGATGACATCATCGCACTCTGTTGTCTCTCATGACCCTCATGTGCCTGATCATTACAGTGGTCCCCATGTCATCCTCCCTGCTCACACCTCCCTGCTCTTCAGATCTGACGGGCTCAGCGTGTTCATTCCTGACTTCAACACCCTAGTCAACGACAGCATTGCATACTTTGCTCCGATACGGGGTGCGTTTAAGAGGAAGGGGGGGAGAGGGGGAAAGTGCTTTAGGGTAAAGGGTGCAAATCTGGCCGAACGAATCGGGTAAAGGGTAAAGGGTGCAGATCTCTTACCTGCCCTAACTCCTCGCTCCATGGTTCTTTCCTACTTTTTCTGTTTCTTCTTCCACAGAGCGACCGGAGCACAAGAGCATACCCAAGTTCTTGTGTGGGGAATCAATGGGCGGGGCAGTGGCGATTTGCATCCACCGCAAGCAGCCCGACCAATGGGACGGCGCCATTTTCATGGCTCCCATGTGCAAGGTACGCATCTTCGGGCATGTGGCATGTGAAGATAATTAGTCTCCTGCGTACACTCCCTTCCAATCCTTTATGAGCACATGTCAGCCAAAGTGCGATCTTTCATTCAAGCAAGCACGGCGGATGAAGGGCGTGGCCCTGGCGTATGTGCTGCCCCTGAGGAATCCCTTGAATCCTCATCATATCACTGCACACACTCCCTTCCATTCCTTCGTGAGCAGATCTCAGCCAAGGTACAATGGAGCCCCAGATAGGAGCCATGTCTCTACGTGGCTGATTTGACTTTTGACTCAAAAGTCAACCCCAGATAGGAGCCATGTCTTTACGTGGCTGATTTGACTTTGACTCAAAAGTCAACCCCAGATAGGAGCCATGTCTTTACGTGGCTGCGACTGATTCAACTTGTAAAAAAGTTTGTTAGTGTGTTGGTTTGTTTTGTTGCGTAACTGACATTCCTTCGTGAGCAGATCTCAGCCAAGGTACAGCCACCAGCGATCCTGGTGCGGCTATTGAAGGGCCTGGCATATGTGATACCCACGTGGCAGATAGTGCCCTCAGCTGACATCGTCACCTCCGCCATTCGCTGCCCAGAGAAGCTGAAGAAGGTGAGAGATTGGGTACTGCTGAGAATTCTCCGTAAATTGCGGGGTAGTTTGATGTCTCACAGAAAGACCCTGCAGAAAACGCCCTCCGCAGACGTCCATTGTCACCAACCCCCCTCTCCCCCCCCTTACCAGATAGCAGCCAGCCCATACACGTACCGTGCTCGCCCGTGCATGCGAACAGCCCTCACCATGCTGCACGCCAGTCAACGCCAAGTCCTCCCTGTCCCTCCCCTTCCCCATCCACTCCCGCCCCAACCCGATACAGATAGCAGCCAGCCCATACACCTACCGCGCTCGCCCGCGCATGCGAACAGCCCTCACCATGCTGCACGCCAGCCAAGACGCAGAGGCCTCCCTCCCGTCCATCTCCCTGCCCTTCCTGCTGCTCCACGGGGACGCCGACACTGTCACTGAGCTGGACGGTAGCCAGGCGTTTTATGAAAAGGCAAGGAGTGAGGACAAGACGTTGAAGGTGTATGAGGGTGCATGGCACCTGCTGACTGAAGGGGAGCCTGAGGAGACTGTGGAGAAGGTGCTGCGGGATATGATTGGCTGGCTGGACGAGAGAAGTCAACGAAGGTCAAGCGAGTAATAAAGGGAATCTATGATGATGCAAGGAGTGAGGACAAGACGTTGAAGGTGTATGAGGGTGGGTGGCATCTGCTGACTGAAGGGGAACCTGAGGAGACTGCTGAGAAAGTGCTGCGGGATATGATTGGCTGGCTGGACGAGAGTAGTCAACGCAAGTCAAGCGGGTGAATGGACTTTTACGTAGTCAAAAAAAGATGCCGGATACTTAGAAATTTTATATTCCAGTCATTGAAATGCTCAAGAATAACTACCAGGATAGGATACGTAGGTGCCTTATGTTGGAAACAATCGGACCTAAAGCGCTTCTATTGTGTAAAAACACCAAGGCACAAGCGAAGCAGATTATATCGAGGCACCAGCGAGCATTGCTGACGCTATCAGACTATTTAGTCTGATTAGTCTGACGAATCAGACATTGCACTTGGTGGAAAATGTATTTCCAGAGTACCGTTTGGCCCCGGATATAAGCGCATATGCGCTTATAATAAGTAATGATTTTTTAGGGGTGGCGCTTGTAATTGAGGAACGGCCATAAGCGCCGGCGCTGATAAAATGTCAAATTCCAATTTTGGTTTTCGAAGTATTAAATTGAAGCCCACAATAAGGCGAACACAACTGTGAACGTTGCGCATGGGATCGTGCATGAAATTCCGGCGAAAACTGCCGCGACTCGATTTCCCACCGCACAGAACCTGTCCTGGAGCAACGCACCTGCCAGCGATGACGTGCATCCTGGCGTGCGGCCCAATAGGGTTTACATGCGCTGCCAGGGTGCCACATTTCACCCGAACTTTCGAGAAGGGGGTGGCATATTCCTGCCAGCGCAGCAGATACGTGCCGCGATTCCATCCTCTGCGGGTTTAGGCAGGGGGGGATCTGACTATGCCTGAAGAGGAACTCGAGCCGCACACCAGAAGGGGTCCCCTCCAAACCCTCATTTCTTCGCCTTCTCTTTCACTTTTTTCATTCAGATTCTTGGTCTCGCCCGCCATGCTGCGGAAGCCATGGCGGAATTCGCTGGCACTCATTTCTTGTTCAAAAAGAAGCCCGCTCGTAGGCCCGCCTTCGTAGTCGACGCCGACGGATGGTACTCCTGTGTCCCACCTGAACCACCAGAGCCACCACAGCCTCCATCGCCTCCTGCGCCGCCTGCTCCTCCTACTCCTCCTTTGCCGCCTGCGCCTCCTGCTCCTCCTGTTCCTCCGTCTCCTCCGATTCTGGGATGTCCTCACAACACAGGGGATCCGCCCGTGCTCACGCTCCTGCTCCCGACTGCGTTCGACGAGTGGCTGGAGGAACCGGAAAGGAACAAGGACCAAGATGTTGAGGTACCCGGCGCACCTTACCCTGGACCACGTTGGGGCCGGCCCGATGATTGCACCACGTGGGACGAGTCTGCACTCGGAGCTGACGACGACGTGGCTGAGGACGAGGAAGCGAGCCGTGCTGACGGCGACGAGGAAGCGAGCCGTGATGACGGCGACGAGGCTGAGGAAGGTGGCGCGCAGGGCGGCACCGCTGAGGATATGTTTCCTGAGGGCGTACCTGGTGGCGACGACGACGACGGTGTCGAGTACTGGTCACGTGACGGGCTCCCCGAGGAACTGCCGATACCTTCCTTTCCACCAGCTAACCGCAAGCGGCCCCACCCGTCTACCCAGAACCGTGATGCCCGCCCCCCCTCTCCCAGGCACAAGATCAGCGATCACAAGCACAAAGGCTACACCGCTGCGGAGAAGTTGAAGTACGTCGCGATGCTGGATGTGGCGAAGTCGGTGCGCGCACTAGCTCGGGAGTGTGGGATTCACCGGAAGTGTCTCGCCAACTGGAAGGTGGCAGCGGGGTTTCTCAAAGAAGCACACTCCGGGCGAAAGCGCATGCACGGTCGCGGGCGGGCCTCGTGGTACCGCCCCATGGAGTTGAAGGTGTACGAGCGGCTCCTGGACTGGCGCCGCAAAGGAACCGCCGTGTCGGTCGGCCGTCTGCGGGAGTGGTCGAGGGAGTTCATGAAGATCCTCTACCCGGACGTCAAGTGGAGCGGGAGTCGGAGATGGTCGGAGCGGTTTCGGAAGCGGTGGAATCTGAGCGTCTGCATGAAGACGCGGGTTGCTCAGAAAACAGCCGCTCGTAAGATTACGCCCCTTGCTTTTTTTTTTTTTAAGTTTCAAATTCACTTACTAAATTGCCGTCTATCCCGCTCGCTTTCCCCCGTCTCACAGATCTTGCGGAGCAGTGCCAGAAATTCTGGCGTTTTGTCCGACACATGCATCGCGCGCGCGGCATCGAGCCATGCTGGATCCTCAACGCTGACCAGACGCCGCTCTGGCTGGAGATGCCCGCCACCACGACCGTGGATCAGACGGGCGTACGGTCGGTGCCCATCCGGAGTGCAGGTTACCAGAAGGAGCGTGTGACCGTGATGCTGGCGTGCACGGCGGATGGGGCGAAGCTCAAGCCGTGGGTCTTTTTCAAGCGGAAGACGCTGCCGAAGGGCAACTTTCCTCCTGGTAATAAGTAGCAACTGCCGCTGTCTTACCGTATCATTTCTCATGCCGCGCTAACAGTTTAAGTGCAATTTCTGTGTGCAGATGTGGTCGTGGCTTGCCACGAGAACGGGTGGATGAACGCAGAAGGCGTCATCCGCTGGCTTGACGAGTGTGTCAAGCCCTTCTTGCAGCCCCGATTTGGCAGGTGTGCGAAGAGCTCTATGCTCGTGCTGGATTCCTACCGCGGCCACCTTACCGAGGGGGTGAAGGAGAAGCTCCGCGAGATCAACTGCGTGCCTGCTGTCATCCCGTCGGGTTGTACGGGTGAGGTTCAGCCACTCGACGTCTCCATCAACAAGAGCTTCAAAGCATTTGTTCGTCAGCAGTACCAGAAGTGGTTTCAGGAGGAGGGCCAAGAGCAACTGACACCTGCAGGTACGTTGTTTGCGTTAAACACGCATGTTTATCCCCCTTTCACCCTAGGTCACTAACATGGCTTTCCCGGGTGTCTCTGTTGCGGTGCAGGGAATCTGAAGAAGCCCCCCCCAGAAGTGGTCCTTCGATGGATTTCACAAGCCTGGAAAGCAGTACCCTCCGACCTCGTCAAGTGCGCCTTCCTCACCTGCGGCATTAGCAACGCACTTGACGGCAGTGAGGACCACCTCGCCATGGCGCACAGGCGGAGCCAACTGACGGCGGAAGTGGATGTAGACGACGGCATCATCGCCGACGGATTTTTCGGCAACAACTGCCAGGAGCCCGAGTCTGACGAGGAGTAGGTAGTTCCGGTAGAATAGCAGATTAAGTCTAAAATTGTGTACCTAGGTAGAATACCGTAGCAGATTAAGTCTGAAATTGTGTATAACTTGTAGTATTCGTTGAAGCGAACGATGTTATAGTTGTTGTTTTCTTTTGTTGTGGTGGTAAAAAAAGTGTTAATATTGAGGGTGGCGCTTATAATAAGGAAGGGTACAAAAGGGGTGGCGCTTATAATCGAGGATCGGCCATAAGCGCCATGCTCCAGATAGAAGCGCCGACGCCTATAATAGGCCGGCGCCTATATCCGGGGCCATACGGTAATCCATTTTTCATCACTGAGTGCCCCAGACTTATTGTTTTGGGGCCCCTGATTCCATGTAATACGGTAGGCTTCAGACTTAATCATTTCTGGAGTCTGACTCTACAGAGTATACATTCTGTGGTCTCCGGACCCCGAGGCTATCGAGACAAAGTTTCCTGGAACTTTCTTCCCAATACCGTATACCCACCTTCGAATGGGCAGAGAGTGCTACCACGCGAGCAAAGTACACATCACCAGCTGGGGATACCGAATACACCCTATCTGCGACAAAGACACGCATTTTAGATTGTTGAGTGATTGGGGTAACCGTTGAAGTGTGAAATAGAAAAGGGCCAAAATACCTTTTCTACGGTAGCGAATCGCTCAACGAATCGGAGAACTTTACAGCCAATCGGGGGGAGGGGGGGGGGTTGGGGTGGATATCTCGCCACGGGTAGGATATTGCACTTTTTGGTACTGATGTCGTCACTGTTTCGTAGGTTGAAGGTACTGCCAGGCGCGCCACCAAGTAACAGTTCGTGCCTACTGCCAGCTCATCTTTGCAGCAGCTCGGCCAGTTGGCACTTGTAAGCAAGGTAGGTCTCACTGTCCCAGGAACTGTACATACACAACAATCGCGCGCTGCCTGCTGCAACAATCTGCCGAGTCACACGCCATTCACACCAGCCAATCCAGAATGCCACCGACATGGGCCTGTCAGCGGCAGGCATGAGGACTAACCCTGATGTGGACCCACCGACACTGACTTGTCAGACAGGCTGACTTCAGAACACTGACCAATCAGAGTGCTTGATTTCTGGCCGAAGTGCCTTCAGAGTCGAATTTTTTTTTGGGGGTTGGAAGCAGAGTGCCTAAATTTGAAACGTCAGCCCTGCCAGCGAGTCAACCCTCGGAGGTTGAAAGTAACAGCTGGAGGTTACGCGAAGGTCAAAGGTCAGCGACCTTTGACTTGACAAATGCAGCGCGACAGCAAGGACACACAACTGACTCGATATTGAGCAGTTGCCCGAGTCGCACTGTATCGAACCGCAACAGGAAAACAATTATCACTCGTATCTCTTCATATTCCTTGTACTATTATATAAACCTTTGTACTTGTTTGCTTTAATCAACTTACTTTGCCCTCACATACCAGCGCAAGGTGGTTCAGAATCTTATCATTAAACGCTTCCGCTATTACATCACTTTACCTAGAGTTTCATCCTACCAAAGATCCTAAGGGGCACTCAGCCCAACATGGTATGAGAGCAGTTAGGGTAAAACTCTATTACTCCTTTTGATTACACCAAGAGACATTTCTACCAGAAAGGAGAGAAGCTCCTCCAACGGCTCTCCTGGTACCACTCCTACTCCACCTCCTGCCTCTGGTCTACAGACAGAGGAAGGCACAACAACAAGACCGGCCGCTGGGTCTACTGAAACACCCGCAAACCA